CGAACACTGCGCACCGGAGACTGGCGTCAGAAGTGACAAAGTGACGCGACCAGTGGACTAATGTGCAGATGACCAGGGACGAGGTCTAGCGCAATGAACGATTGTGAAGGTGCCGAAAGTGTTTGCATTCGTTATGATTTAGTACTAAGTGATATAGGTAGTGTACCATAAATCTGTATAGGTGCTTGTGTAGTTTAGGAAGAACTCGCGAGAACCTGCGTAGCGAAGTCGTGAATCTCGTGGATGTACAGAATGTTCCGTCGGTGTTCAGTGGTTGTGTGATCTCCCGTCTTAAGTCGATCACAGGGGAGGAGTGTGTCACCGACGAAATGAACTGCCCTGTTGTTCTTCTCTTTCGTTTTACATTTGACAGCCACGCGTGATCTATCGCAGTACTGGTCATGCCCCGTGAGCCTGGACCAGCTCTTGTGTTAGTTTCTCGTCTCAAGTTCTAATTGCCTACAATTTGTCACTCGCGCTATCGCTTCACACTTGACGGCTGTTCGTGCTCGCCGCCGCCGTATCGTATAACCGAACGTGCCGCGCGAGCCTGCTCTGGCTCTTCTCACAGGTTTCTCGTTTCATATTCTAATTGCTTTTAGATGTACGACTGATTGTTCTTTGTGCCCGCGGCGGCTCCTCGAGTCGCTGCGGGCAGTCTCCACTTGAACGCCACCGGGTACAGTCCTCGGTGGCGGTGCGCGGCTCCGCCGGCGCCCCGATGTGCGCCGGTGTAGTGAACCCGTGACGGAATCGTGCGCGATTCCGACGGCACCCCCAGCGGGTTGCCAACGTGAACAGTGACGGAGTCGTGCCACCGAGCACGATTCCGAGGGCACCCCCGTTCGTGTGCCCAGTGAACGCCACTGAGCCCAGCTCAGTGGCAGTGCGCGAATTCGCCGGCGCCCCGACGAGCGCCGGCGTATTGCAGTGCAGTGAACGGCTCTGACGGCGCCCCGTCCGCGGCGGCGCCGATGTGTCATCTGAACTCTGAACAGTGAACTTCATCGACAGTGCTCACTGTGTTTTTCTCTGGTCCACCTGTCTACTCTGCGCTCCTCATTTCACCCTCGTCTACCGTTCGTCATCATCTATCGTCCGGATTTCTTCAATACATTCTTCAAAATTCATCGAAGTTTTTCCTCCGCTACAATAAATGTCCCGGCCCCCATCAGAGGCTCGTCAGGGTCGGCGACAGCATTTTACCGAGCGACTTTCAAATATGCTGGCGACTTTCCGCTATTTGGTTACTGTGCCTTGGGATTCAAAGAAATTTGATGATGATCATTTTATATAATTGGCGTTATCAATGAATGCAAGTTCCGAAACGCAACAGCCTCACGCTCCTTTTTGGTGAGGCATGATTGTTATTTGTTCGACTTGATAAATTCCCGGTCTCCCTACTTCATCGTCCCGACTCTCGAGACATTGATATCAGTGCGTCGAACTGGACTCTCCAGCCCAGCAGTCAGCGATTCTGAGCGATACGGAATCGTAAGGGCCCCTGTCCCTGAACGGTGAACGTGCAGGCCATACGTGACGGGGATCACGTCGTCGCTCGGTTGCATGAGTGAACCGGCATAACGTATAATGGGCCTCATGAAACAGTCTTTTGGTGCGTGCCTGCACATGGAACTGGAACGGGAGGATTATCACACTATACCTATGTTGGCTGACTGACGCATTGAATGACACCACCATGTGCATGACAAGGATGACCAGATTTATCAACGGTTATTTGGAAACGGGAAAGCCGCCTCATTGACCTGATTATTCATGTTTTACAAGCAGGCTCAAAACTTACTTTGGTTTCTAAGATGGGAAAGCCCTTGAGACGTCTTAGTCTTTGTGTGTTATTTTTACCCGAAAAGCACATGACAACATGTACGCATTTTTAAGAAATCAAATAAGCCCACTGTTGCAAATCGTTCCGTTTTTATTCAGGTGACACCAAAGGTCGGTAGGCGCTGGTTACACCATCCGAAGCCATGCACCCAGGCCGTGCTGTAGACAGGGTCACGGGTTTCGATAGCGCATACCTCATTATGCTGCCACCTGCCATTGTTCTCCGCCCCGGTATTAGAAACCGGGTGCGAATATCTCGGCTGTTTTCCCATTGGCGGGCGCGATGTGTGTGCATTAGACGGTCGGAGCTGCTGCTGACACAACTATAATCGGTGCGCCGGTGTCACCGCGGGTCGTGGCTGCCGGCGCGGCTGGCGACATCCACGGGGTCCCGTTCACACGCCGTACTCACTGCTCATCCGGCTGGGGTGGCACAACGGCCGCCATCCGCCTGTCAGGGCGGGTTTAGAGGTTACAAACGGGTGGGGAGGTAGCGAGCATCGGTCAGAGTGCAGGGAGTGTTCAGAAAGGGGTGAGCGGAACGGTAGTTGTTACCGTTGCCGGTGTGAATAGAGATTTCCCCTTCGTTGGTAAAGTAGGCATTTAATTTAAAAAGGAGAAGATGGAGTAGAAACGTTACCATCAGTGGCGGTGGAACACCTTCAATTAACCCGGCAGTTGCTGGGGTATTTCGCCACCCACCGTTTGCTGGGGGGGGGGGCGTTAAACGCCCCCAGCCGATAACTCGAGAACCAATAGGCGCAGCGAAACGCACGAGGCGGCAAACGAAAGACCGCGACGAGACGCTTCATATGAGTACTTTAAAGTTGAATTTTGAGGTCACGGGTCGGGTCAAGGTCAGGTCAAACACCTAAAATCGGGCTTTCAGTAGCATGGACTTCAGGACTTCGCAATGGGCGCCTCTCGCCATAAACTCTGTCAAAACGGTGCACAATCCATCTTATAAGGCCTACAAGAGTGTCAGCTCCATGTAGGGGTCAGTCAAGCATAGGTCAGGGTCAAGGTCAGGTCAACCGGGTAGGCACATATCCCCGAAAATCAAAACTGATATTCGCAGCCTGTGACACATGTTTTATAGGTAATTTGGGGCGTAGAACACGATGGTGACATTCATTTTATCATATGTGTACGTGTTTGGCTCAAAAAGTTCAATTTAAGAAATTCATGTATCATGGTCGTGAAGTAGTCACGAAAAATTGCCAAGATTCAGTTCAAGATTATGGAAAATGCGGAACGATAATCAATAATCGAAGATAGCCATTTGATTGATCATGGTATTGGCAGTCTAATGGCGTTTATGGCATGTCTGTATGTCTATTCTGTGATTTTATATGATTTTTTGAACATATGCCGTTTTTGGTCGAAAACTCAGAAATCATGACGTCACTAAAACCTTGATATCTCAAAAATTTTCGGACCGATTTTTTTGAAACTTTGTCACAATAACCTTCAATCAATTCCCTACAGGTACCCAAAATTTGGCGCGCCTGCGGCGCGCCGTTTTTATGCTATGGCCCGGCGAAAAAAGTGGGGGCGTTTAACGCCCCCCCCAGCAACTCGCGGGTTAAGGGGGGGGGGGGGCACTGCCGACTTTTTGTCCCATTCTTTCCATGCAACGCCCATAGGGCTTATGTTAAAATGCCAAAATCAAAAGGGGACAAGGTGCCCCGGTGCCCTCCCCGTTCCGCCGCCTACGGTCATCATCTTTTAAAATTTTGTAGAATATGTTGCTCTTCATGGAAATAAGATAATAAAGCTTCATCGTCTTTGGTCATGATTGTGATCGCGCTTGAATGGTACGATTAATTACAACTAACATGTGGTGAGCCCGTCCTTTCACATGGTGCAGTAAGCGATTAGGATGACGCTGCACATTGCACAGTGCACACTGCACACTGCACAGTTTTCAAAGTTCAGCTCCCATTTAGCTAGTTTTTGGTTCTAAGCATTTTCTTTACCTCGAGACGAATAAAAATTACGATAATTTTATTGCAGTCCAATGCTGCACGGAGCGACCGTTGAACAACGATATTATCGCCACTAGATGGCAGTGCGCTCGAACGCCTGAAGGTAGGCTAGCCCGCATGGCTCCGCGGCCCGAGATACAAGTGCGAACTGATATGACGCAGCGGGAACCAGTAGCGGCGGACACCCTCAATTAAGGGGGGGGGGGGCACTGCCGACTTTTGGTCCCATTCTTTCCATGCAACGTTCATAGGGCTAATGTTATAATGCCAAAATCAAAGAGGGGCACGGTGCCCCGGTGCCCTCCCCGTTCCGCCGCCTATGGCGGGGCCGGGAACCTCAATTTCTAATCCTCTCAAGTCTCAAGTGAAGAGGAGACACTAGAGACGATGCATTCGCAGTTAAAGTGACATTTTGGATGGACTGAAAAAATGTCATGAGTTCCGTCAAGTGACCGCCGGTGTCTGACTTGGACTGGGCCGATTGCCGAAACAGTCAACGGATCTATAAGCTGCCAACTGGGCAGGCTAGCGAGGACATAAATCTGAAGTTTCTTTTTATTAAGAGGCTAAAAACCAGCACTGTTTCTCCGCAGCTCTGAACCGGGCACCTAATCGCAATGGAGCCGCGGCCGCGGCCCTGACTGCCTCTCGACCTTTCGAGGTCCCGAATCCGAACGACCCCAGAGGCCGGTGTCATGCCGCCCGGGCTCCAGTCACGCTCGCTGTGTGCATATGGATGGACAGCCGCCTGTCAATTATCCATCTCCGTGTCATTTCGTTTACGCTGGACGCTCGAGACGCGCCATTTGCATAATCCACTGTGTGGAGGTCGTTCGTGGGAGACGCCGGACGGAGGCGCGTCCTTTGTGTCACCGTCCGTCCATGACTGACCTCGCTGACCCCAACCCCCTCCCCCTCCGCTCACCCTGGGACACACGGCACGTGACCCTGTCTGCCCCGGGGCGGTCCCCTAGGGAAGCCGGCCAGGCGCAGACCACGTGCAGCGCCGGCCGGCCGGCCGGCTGCTGGCGCAGTCAGCTGGCGCCGCCGAGCAGCTGCCGCCCCTCCCCTCCCCTCCCCTGCCCAGTCCCACCCCTCCACGCCGCGCGGCGCGGCGCTCGTCGAGCGGCGGCGGGCAGTCGGCCCGTCGGCCAAGCAGTCGGCGACCAGACGCTACAGCGTGAGGGGTGCGTGTTGGAGTGGCGGAGATATAGGAGGACTTTGGGTCTCTTGGCGCCTGGACGCGTCGCTGTGTGAGGACTGTTGACTGATTGCTGGCTTGGAGAGCTGTAGGAAAGCAGTTGGAGCTCCGCAGACATTGAAGCTGAAAGAGCGGTGAGTATCCGAAAACCGAAATGCATGTGGTGGCGGGTCAAATGTGAATTGGTGTGCAGTGTGAAGTCTGAACGCTAACACCAGTGTTTGTTATGAACTTGGGAAATGCAATTGCCCAATTACCCACTGCGTTGCAGCGTTGGACTTATCTCGTGCTGATGCCCTCGTACGTCAGATTTAGTCGTTGATGACTTTGCATGTCATGTTCACGTCATGCGATGATGCCGTGTTCAGTTGACAAGTGACACGCAGTCAGATTGCTGGGCTTAAGGATATGGTTTCTGATTTATGTTCGATTCAGGTTCTGTCTGTCGCGAGTCTATTCACGTTGAGTCGGCCCGGGCACCTACGACTGACGAGAACGGACGATATCAATATATCCCGTCTGTTGTCTACTCAGCACGGTCTCAGCACTATATAGCCTGACAGGCGGCAGCTGCCGGCTACTGCTGTCAACTTGCAATGCAAAATGTGCCTGCGACTTACCTTTTTTTGCTACAGCCTGCATTGCACTTAGAGTCGTACACTTGATGTCCTAGGTCTTGCTACCTCGTTACCTCAACACTGTCGGCCTCGTCCTAGAGAGCAACAGCGAATTCGCTCTCCTAAGCCAGTTATCATGCTCGTTGTTGAAGGATAATCATACAAATAAAGTACCTGCATGTCCATCCAAGAACCTTGAAGGGATTTAGTGCAAACTACGGAACACTGCCTGTCCGCTGTTGAAATACGACGACAAAGCTTTGACACACGAAAAGGAGGCGTCGTCATGTCGAGTCGCTCAGCTAAGTCCGTAGAAGGATGAGAACGTTGTTTGGATTATAAATATGCACTTTGGTTCCTGGATCACAAACGATAATGATACATTTGCACGAGAACGAAAATACGAAATTCCGAAAACTTGAGTCTTGAACAGCGCGACCTAATTCTATTTTGTTTTCGTGTCTCGTACCAGCACAACCCGGATAAAGTATCTGCTCGTTCTTTATGCATGCTGGCACCTAATTTGTTTCTCGGCGGCCTTGAGTTTGAAAGGCACGTCGCTGCGAGCCGTTTTGAACCGGGAAGAAGGAATCTGAACGCCTGGGAACAGCAAAGTCCTGAAGATTACACGCCGAAGTCGGCCGTAGCCCGCGGCCGACAGTAAATACCATCTGGCAGGGAGCACCGCCTCCTTTGTTGTTCGAGGACGGAGTCGGACACGAGTTCGCGAGTCGGCCGCGTCCAGCTGCGCCATAGTCGTGTGAAAGGTGTGCTGCTCCGCCGGCCAAATTTGCACCTGGCGCTAACGGCGAGGGGTCTGTGATTGAGCCACGGAGCCGGGAGGCTGGAGAGCAGCACAGAAGCTTGAAACTGGCGTGGCTCCTGGCGGGCCGGACGTCCTGAGAAATGGACAGACTAAAGAACAAGGACAACAGGCGGTCGGTCACACAAACAGGATAAACAGGGAGCCAGTCTCCCGGACGGACAGCTCCATAGTCCATACCCGAGGCAGACGTGACGTCTGTTGAGCAATCCTGGGGCGCCAGATAACCAGGACCGCTGCTGTGTTGGGAAATACATGATAATCGGCGATACTGACCACTTTGGGCTCCGGTTATCTCTCTGACACCCCGATCGTTCTCTCCCAGTTTCTGCCTCCGCCCTCCGGCGCCCGCCGCCCGCCGCCTGCCGCCCTGCCCTTTGGGCCGTCACTCGAGGAGCGAGTGAGTGACACGCCCCGCCCCGGGTCGGGGATCGGTCTGGCACCACCGAGCGCGCTGCCGCGTCCCCCGCGGTGGCAGCTCCCCGCCGTCCGTCATGTCCGTGTCTGTCTCTCAGAGATTAGCGCCCTCCCCGCCCCGGCCGAGCCCCGCTCCAGCCTCGGCGCGTCGCTTGGTGTCAGCCAGAGGCACACACGTCTGTCAGATGGGTGTTTTCGGCACACTGAGGGCGCACCGTTCCAGTCCGTCAGCCGCCGATCGTCGCCTCTGGCATCACTGCGTGCGTGACGCCGTCTCGCCCTCACCTCTGGCCGTTGTCGCCTCCCTCCGATCACGCTGCCTATGCTGAAAGGAGCGGGACTAACCGCCACCACCACCACCACCGCCGTGGCTGTCGGCGTCACCCGTCGTTTGTCGTCAACACCTGTCAGCGAGGCGGCGGCGGCGGCGCCGTGGCTGGCACGTCTGTGTTTTTATATCGCGCTATCGAGACGGCGACCGGACGGCGGCGTCACGACCCACACGGGTACTGGCAGCTGGGCAGATCGTGGCGACAACGTCCACCTGGCCGCCGGATGGACACTCGACGGGGTGGACAACACACTGAGAGCTCTAGACGAGAGTGCTCGGCTGCTTATCATCATATGGATGGTTAGAGAGACTCGCTGTTGTTGAGCGCTGTATGTGAATGTGTCCCTGTGATGCCACATATAGAATGCAAGATTGTGTGAATCACCATAATCTCACTAAGCTTAGTAAACGATTTGGTGTCACCACCACGTTCCCGTCCGACGTCTCTGCCCATTTTCACGTCTCTCGCCGTCACGTCACCGTCCCGTCGTAGCCACGTCACGCATTGTGCGTGTCTGCGCGGCTGGCCGTCACGTCCGTCCCCGGAGGAAGCGGCTGCCGTTCGTCACGGCCGGCCAGCCGGTGCTTTGTGCGCGACACCGGAAGGGGCGCCTGGGAAACGGGCTGCTGCCGGTCGTGCAGCGAATACCCGGCGCTCCGAACCGACTGCGGAACGCCCAAGCGGTGTACTCGGGACGTAGGGTGCCCATCGCCAAGCCGTGACGACGTTTAAAATTCAGACTGCGAAGGAATTTGGCGAGAGGCTTAGTGGCTGTAATGCGACGTCTTTGATCGTGTGTTTAGGAAGCGTCGCGGGTTCTGTGGTCGATGACCCTTTCTGGTTTCAATTTGTGGTTCATGCTCCTTCTCGTATTTCTATAGGCTGGTGGTGTCGTGTTTCCCTGCGCTATGCGGCTCAGCTGTGGCGCGGGGTAGCGGCTGGGCGTCCGCCGCCGCTGCCGTTCACAATGCCTGCGGGGGCTGCCATGGCCGTCCCCACGCTCCCCTCGTGTCGCCGGTCAATAGGCCGCCACGGGTGGCCGTTTAAATCCCGCGGCGCGGACTGGCACGACGGCCGGCCGAGCGCCAACCGTCGGCATCTGCCGCCGCCTCCCCGGACGATCGCTGGGCCTCAGTACACACAGCCAGTGACGGGGCTCCGTGCCGCGTCTCTGTCCACCTGGCCGTCCCTCGGGCGTTCGGAGGCGCTGCGCTCAGCAGGCGGCTCTCCCTGTGTCGGAATGTGACGTGACGCGAGGAGACAGCGGCGCCGCTCTCCGTCGGCTCGGTGACGGTTCGGCGAACGGTGGCGACCTCGAGGCCGACGCCGGCTCCCCGGAACGACGGCCGATGACGCGGCGCACCCCCGCGGCCGGCCGCGTCACTCCCCGGGTTCGGGTCGCCCCGCCGGTGGTGTGTATCACGGCTCAGGCTCGCGCTGCCACCGGCCCCGTGCGTGCTGACGCCGGCCCAGCCAGCGCTGGAATGCGAGGGGCTTGGTCGACCGCTGGAGTGGGTTCATTAATCCCGACCTTCCGATACGCCCGAGCGGACCAATTCAGAAAGACCACTTCTTTCTGAGGCCGGACAGTTGAGTGTAATCGTCCAAAAAATGCGGTCCAGGAATTTCAAATGAAAAGTGTAGAACTGCTGAATGGTGGCTTTTAGGGCGTTGTGTGGAATGGCTAGGGTTAAGCGTTTTCGGTGGAACCAATGCCCTGCTGTTTGGACCCAGACTGGTTCGATTTTATTCCAGCACTGCTGTATGTATTTGCCACGGCGCTGGAGTCAGTCAAGTGATGCTGACGAGTTTGTTTTTCGCTGCTGCAGCTTCGGTTTGCAAGGCGAATCCATTGTGCATGGCCAGCACAAAGCAATTTCTCAGTCACATTTGAACGAACCGTCCTCAGCCGTCTGGCCTGCAGTATGCCACAAAGGCCAATTGTGATTTGATTGTCATTTATTCCCACATTGTTACTATGTCTATGCCACTTCTTTCGCTCAAAAGTCGACTTGACCTTTGATTCGTCGATAAATTTCGGGCTCCTTCGCCCGATAAGGCAGCATTGTGAAGCGATCAAGCGGCCGACGTAAATATGCTAGACTTTAACGGATATGCCTTGTTTGAATTTTGTTTGTGAGAGACCTTCTCTGATCACTGTGACCAAACAAAGTACGAAACCATCTTTACATTCCAAGCTCGCTTGAAATGCTTCGCATTTGTTGCTACTTGCGTACCTATTGCTCAGCCGAAAAACACCTCCGTCGCTTGAAGCCGGTCTGTCTGTCTGTATTTCCATACCGTCTGAATCGACATCCGTTTACTCATACCAGCTGGCTGACAGTTTCCCGTAGCCGGTCGCAGACGCGGCGGCGCTTTACCGCATACCCCGGAGGCCGAGCGGTGTCGTCCGTCCGTTCCCAGGCTGAGTGAACTGACACTGCGCGCCTCTGTCGGTACAGACGGGCTCTGCAGCCGTCGGACCCTCCCCGGACAGGAAACCGGGACTGATGGACGGCCGATGGCCCCGCTCGACCTGGGATGGGTGTGTCTCAGACCGGCTGCGGCTCCGCCAAAGTTTGCAGCATGTCTGACCCGACGCTGGCCCCTGGGCCGCCGCGCCGCCGCCGTTGTGGTTTCGGTGCAGGGTTTCGTCGACCGACCGCGGCCAGCCCACCTGGCGGCGGGTGATGACGGGTTTTTGTGGGTGGTGCTCGGGCCGCCTGTTTACGGCTTCTGTCGTCACAGTTGCGGTGATGAGAGCGAGACCAATGATGCGGTGGAGGCTGGGTCGGCTCATCTGTCCGTCTCCGTCGGCAGTCGGGAGGGTTCGCTCCGTCCGTATGAAATGGCGAGCTTGGTGCGCCCTCCGGCTCGGTGCCGTGGTGGCTTCATTACCGCCGGCTGGCGGAACGGAGCACCGCCGGCGGGCGTGCTCGTCTTTG